TTGAAAACATCAGAAGTTGATAAGTTCCTGGCTCACCTCAACTCCATCGAGCCCGACATCAAATTCACCGTGGAACGAGAAAAAGACAACACTTTACCATTCCTTGATGTACTGGTGAAGAGGCAAGGAGAAGAGATGAAGTTTTCGGTATACAGGAAGCCCACTCACCCCGGACGCTACCTTAATTTTAAGTCGAACCATCCCACGAGTCACAAGGCATCAGTCGTTGCAACACTCATGTCCAGGGCGGCTGTTATCTGTTCTTCAGAAACTGACAGAAAAAGAGAGGAGCAGAGTTTGATCGCTGATCTGAGAAAGAACGGCTACCCTACAAGGTTTATCCGATTTGTCACCAAACGTGCGGTTCACGCTCGCCAAAACCCACAACCAAAGGGAGCTGCGCCGCATCGCCCCATCACGCGCATCAGCGTTCCCTACGTTCAAGGTACTAGCGAAGCACTATCACGGGTGCTCGCAAAACAAGGCATTCACGTGGCTCACAAACCGGTATCCACTCCCGGACGACCAAGACCAAAAGATCGCCCCCCGAAGGTAAAAGCACCGGGAATTGTTTATCGGATCCCCTGCTTAAAATGTCCTGCATCTTATATCGGCGAAACAAAGAACTTTACGGAAAGGTTACGCCAGCAAAAGAACGATGTTCGCAAATTCGACCGAGAACGCAGTGCTCTTGCGGAGCATTGTGACACCTTTGACCATCCGATAGACTTCGCGAACGCGTCCGTTCTTGATGTTGAAACCAATCTCCGAAAAAGACATCACCTTGAATTATGGCACATCCAAAATACACCAGGAAATATCAACAGATCCGTGGGTACCTTGCGATCTGTTTATGTGAGTGGACTACGACACGTGATTAGAAAAAGACTGGATGGCAAGGCGGAAGCGCGATTAGAAGATATTCGTGCCACCAAAGAAGACGGGGCTGCTCCCACGCACGAGATCAATCGCCCCTGAAGAGGAAACCGAACAGCTTTTGAAATGTTGGGTGCGAGTTTAATTTTTGGTTGATGTCAAATATTTTTTCATTGTATAGGATTGCCCTCGTAATTAGTCAGCACGGTTTTTGACGGCTGCTAGTCGCTAACTCTCCCAATCTTGCGGGAGAATCATTTGCTTCGCCCTCGAGAGTGCAATTCTGGACAGCCGCTAGCTCAGCACCATTGCAAAACTCGATGGCCAATTTCAAAGTAAGGTTCCTCTCTCGCAGAAGGCGAGCACGCAACCTTTTGCCTGTGGTTCCGCATACTAGCAGGTCTCTGGCCCATAGAGTCCTTTAGTTCACCAAAGTGGCATGTCTGAGCCTTGAGCTGCACGTCGCGAAGAAACTGCTGGAAGCTGTCGCCTTTTTTCTGCTGCCTTGCTCTAAACACGTACCGTTCGTATGTCTCGTTGCACTTCGGGATGCAGTAGTTCTCAAAGGCTTGGACGATGGCATCGTAGTCTTCTCGTTGAACTGCTGTCAGCGAAAATGTGTTGAATACGTCAATAGCTTCTTGTCCAGCTACATGCAGAAAAAGGGCTGCTTCCTGCGCTGGCGTTTTCTTTTTAGCTGGTGCTGTGGCCCTGAAGAACAGCTCTATAAGCTGCCGGAACCTCTTCCAATAGACCTTTTGTAGAAACATCGGTTCGAGAGTAAATGGTCCCAGTACTCTCTCTCTCTCTTCCTCCTGGCACAGCAGAGAGGGAAGGTGGTTTCTTTGTGTCGACATCAAGGCAGAAGATTACTCACGACGGGGGCAAGGGCGAGTTTGGGAAAACCGTATCTAGGTCACAGCGTCTCAACGGCTTAACAGGATGTAGCTGACGTTTTGGGTGTGGAACGCGTGGGAGAGGCCTTGGGCGCGCGTTGTTTTCTCGAAACTTCGTCTCGACCCGAGTCGCGTGTCTAGGTGGCAGCACATATTTGCCAAGAGGTCCATTTTCTGCGGCAACGTCAGAAAGCACTTGGAAGTTGGAACTCGGGAGGGGGCACATGTTCCATATCAACGTTACTTTCTACTAAACAAATCCTGCTTCTGTCACCATGTATCGAAGATGCGTCAGTCACTTGGAGCGGGACCAGAAAGAACGCAGCGAAGTCACCGGTGTTCAAACAATAGGGCGCCCTATTGTTTGAAAACCGGTGACTTCGCTGCGCTTCCATGGGAGATAAGCCTTTTTTTAATTTTTTTTTTTTACTTTTTATCAGGTAAGTTCGCTCTACAAATTGTATAGAAAAATTGCACCAACTGTGGGCAACGCTCCACAAGATCGTCGCGCGATAGGCTAAGGAACCGAATTTCGCGGTCGATTTAAGGAGCCTGGCAGCTAGTTGAGATACCCAGTATAACGAGAAGATGTGAAAAATAAAAAATAAACAATCGCAAATTTATGAGTTACAGTTACATTTAAACCAAGCAAGTTACGCCTTATCCGTATCCGCTCGATTTGCTTCGCCTTGTAGCGCCGTGGCCGTTCGCGATTGCCGACGATCGCAGCCATATAATCAGCTGTTTCTGCTCAAAACATCGCACTTTGCCCTGGCATTAGCACCCGTCACAGATTCACAGTTAAATTGAGCACATGGTTGTCTCATGAACTGTTCCCGAAGTGCCCGCTATTCTAGCGGACGGAAATGTTGCTGCGGTGGACCTTCATCCGAAGTTGGTTGGTTTCGGAGCAGACGACTTTGGCTAGCAGAGGTCAGCCGGTTTTTCCGGGTCTCGCACCTCGCGTTTGGCGTGGTGACACAAAGGCTCCCGTGACATTGGGTCGCAGCGCCCTAGCGTCCAAGGTTTGCCAAGTTATCGTGAGACGGAGTACTGCCCTTTGCACCTCTGGCACAACACTCGTTGTTGACTCCATTTTCATCTATTCCCCACTGTGCTTCTAGGATGACCCTCTTCTCAACCTCTACTCTTAAAATAACCTGCAATTCAGCCCTAATTGCTTGCCCTTCCTTGCTCTTCCCTTTTCTTCCTTAACTACACCGATGAGACGCTCCACTCTATCCTCATACTTTTTTCTCGCTTTTCTAGCCCTGCCTTCCAAGCTTCCCCCTGCCTGAGCTCCTTCATCTGCTTCTCAAGTTTGGCCCGCTTCTTCATTTCCTCGTTACGCTCAGCCCCCATGTGCTCTAGCTAGCCTTCAAAGTCCTTCGTAAGCTCCTGCCACCTCACTTCAAGCACCTCCCCCTCCCCTGTTCGTCAACTCACCGACCTGGGTCTCGAGCAGGACCCGCTGTTACCGCTGTTCCTCCAGTTCCCGCTTCATCTCTTCAAATTTAGCCTTCCACACTCCTAGGATTCTAAAGTCTCCCTCGATGTTCTCCCACAGTCGGAAAGAGAAGCTAATTTTTTCTGCGTCAGCTACGCTCTTGAAATCAGTTTCTTCTAAATAACACCACCTCTTGCACTCTCCGCACTCCGCCATGTTTAGGTCCCCCTTGATCTTCCGGCCTTTTCTATACTCGTCGCCTAGCTAATCAAAGACCCGTGCATCTATCACAAAAAAAAAAAAAGAAAAGAAAGCCCGCCAAAAGACTACACAAAGACCGACCCTACTCTACAATCCAATGCCCCGCCTGGCCGCCTACGCTAACCTAAATCTCTAACCCTGCCGCAATTTCAATCTGTCGCTACTACACCTTGTACGCTTGAACACCAAAAATATGAAGAAAAAAATGCACTAAGCTTCAGAAGTCGAACACAGCTTCCTTTCTTTCTCATACACCTTTGTACACTCCACCCCTTCTTGTCCCCCGTTTGATCATGCCACATCATTTTTCCAGCTTCCCGGAAATAGAAAACAACACCGGCACAGGATTGTCTGCTTGCCACTTTTATCAATTCCATTGCTAACCTCGTGCATATAGGGAAGTACTGCCCTTCTAACGCTGGAGCTTATTTTCTCCGGGACCCCTGCACTCATCCACAGTCTGTTCAATGGGGTCTCCACTACTTCCACAACAATCGAAGGGGGGTATCCCCTCTGTTCCAGTTCATGTACCTGTGACCTAAAGCTTTCCGTCATCTTGCGCAGGTAGGATTTCGGCAGCTCGGCCCGGAGACGCGAGATGGTAATACCCCTCTTGACCACATTTAAGTTGGTGAAAACTAGAATGAAAAGCACGTCGGTCTTGTTAAACCTGCGAAGCGATTCTAGGGGGAGCGCGTAAAGCCTTGCACAGACTCGCCCGATCGAGTGCAGGGATGTTGTGCACACCTCAACACAAAAACGCGGAAGCACCATACTGATTGGCGAGAACAGCGCACTACACACGGCACATTGAACGTTCAGAAATGATCGTCATGCACACGCCACACGCACCGGGCAAGCTCATAATCAATTCAATGCGCTAGCTGCCCTAGTGTGCATGCGCGCCGGCTGGCTTGACTTGTTCCGCAGCTGGGAGACGGGCGTGTCTTGTTTTGTTTTCTTGTTTCGATGCACTTAAAATATATTTTTTCATGCTTTCAATCTTTCTCCGCTTAATAAAAGGGCTTCATTGGAGGAATAACAATGGTTCACAGAGCAATGCACGTTATTTAGCCTGCACAAAAAAAAATATGACGGTTCTAGCAGGCTGCAAATTACAACATGCTTACCGGTGATGTCACTGGTCGAGGGTTTTGAACACACTGTTTCGTCACAGGACGGTGACCGCTTTTTGCCTGATCTAATTAAAATATGATGCGCTTATACTTTGTGGCTACCAATTGTTCCCCGAATAGCCCGAAACACTAATGAGGTAATAACATAAATAGGCCAGAAGCTCAAATGTCATTAGAGGGCCAATTTGTACCCATCTGCCAGCATCTTCGAATGAATAAATACATTTTGATAAGTAAACAAATGGAAAATACAGAATGCAAGAAGTCTCTTCTTCAATATTTGTACTTGAAATATTTACCATTCGTGAACATGTCATTGAAATAGTGCTGCTGAAGATGTGAAAGTTTAGAGCAGATGACAAGCAATAAAGGTACTTGTCGAGATATTTAGAAAACCTTTTAATTCTCTATATACACACACATTTTATCAAACTCTCGTGAAACCACCCCGGTGGCGTCGCGCAGTCATCTCTAGAGAAAAAAAAAAAACGTTACAGATCTTCCTTTAGAGCACAAGCCAAGTTGCTACATAACCTTGCCGCTGGCGGATCACAACGTGCACAACCGCTTTCCAAACACACAATGTGACTTCCAACACAAGTCAGCTATCGTCTTAATGAATGAAGCGGCAGAAGCTTGCAATCATTCATTTACATCACAGAAACATTATATTAGATATAAGCCAAGAGGACGGAAAAGTTAAGTTTATCGCCAGCAGATCAAAAGCGTCTTTCACGAGCCTGATGCACAATCCTTGACTCAGAAAATGCGCGCGTAAGACTAGCTGCAATCCAATTGCACTACATTACAATTCATCCAAGAAAAACGGTGTAGTCTTGTTTTCGAGGTTCTGGAGAGCAAAAGGTATTAACATATAAAAGTATATTTTTCATTGATCCAATGAGGCATCATCTGTAGCACTGCGAAAGGCACGCTAAAATATGTAATATTACAGTATACGTTTAGTGCTATACAGTATTGATAACTGGGACTGAGGTCCATATGCCGCCTTGCAATTTAAGTGAAAATGTTACAACTAAATTGAGACAACATATGGCGTAATCCCGGTGGTGCGCTTGGGATCAGAATGCATAGTTGAACAGATTTGATTTTGTATGGAACGCACAGTAATTTTGGTTCAAGTCTCGAACACTCGACGGTATTTTATGTACACACAACCTTACCGCAAAAACCCAGTAAAAATCTGGCTATCTGTGTTATGGAACTGGAAATATATCTGGACTTTACCTGGACTTTAGGTTTTTAGAAATTATTCCTTTTTCTGCAACTTAAATTTCACGTTTCCAGAAGCAATTCCAGTTAGATTTCCAATTCCATAATGAAAAGGGTAAAAAGTTATACTGTTTTTCTTTTTTCGGTCGGGATGTTTCTTTTGACACAACACAGCAGTCGAAATGGCTGCATCTTTGTTATTGCATTTCTAGATGTTAGTCAATTGAGTGGAATGTGAATAATATGCATGGGCACTTGGTTTACAGTATACAAGCCTTCTCTGCCCAGAGGTATCAAAGCACACTTGCAATTTGTGTACTTATGCACGTATGCATTCAAAACATGGTCCAGAAATGTGCCCTGTCTAACATGTGGAGTCATAACGCGCATAAAGTAATTGCGAGTTTCATAACATTGGACCGATTTCCTAATTTCTTAGTGTGAATTGAAACTCGTTTCCAGGCCACCAAGCCACTCACACACACACGCACACAAATATAAACACGCAGAAAATATAAAGAAAAAATTGATTGACAAGAACATATCCACGTAAGTCACCCAAACATGAACGATAGGTAAGAATTCCTCAGCCATCCACAAATTTAACGACCTTGCCTCAATGCAGTCCGGAACAAAACAAACCTAATATTGCTCAATCTTCCGCATGCCGCGAGAAAGCCAGCTCTCGCGTCACATAATACGCAGTGCCTGTGGTGCCTCCAAAATGAGACTCTTCTACGGCTATGCTTATCAGTTAGACCTGCGGCAGGCTATACACATGAGGCCAGTTGCACGTGATTTAACGCCACGACACTCTCCCAGGAGGGGAACGCACCATCCTCGCAGCGCAGTAAGTCACGTGTTAAAGCCGGCTTACTACCAAAACAAAAATCCGGCCCTCAAAGAGTTCTTTGTCGGCGCCTTGCCAAACCAACCGCTGTCATCCTCTCAGATTGTTTGAGCGGAGCAAAGTGCACAGACATGTAGGGACTGACAGGCGGATGCATACCTAAAACATATGACACAAGGGGCGACATTTAAGGCACTTCTAGCAGACGTTAGAAAATGGCACTGTCTAAACTGATGGCATGCCTATTGGTACCTTGGCGAGTGTAAAGTAAGAAATCTTGCAACGTTTGCGGGGGACGGCTCATGTTTTTCTGAGAGTTTATTCTAGAACGTGTGCGCCAGAGGTGATGGAATGTTCAAAATAAGTTTTAGGCAAAGAAAACCTCGTTTTTATAAACTTCACTTGATAGTTTTAGGGGTAGAATTTAATTCCGCAGTAAGAATTCATCCCAGGTATTAATTGTGATGCTGCTGAACATAACTGCAAACGAAACAGTTTAATGTGAGTTAGACAATCTACAAACATTTCAATTATTAAAACGTCGGCCTCAAAAAAAAATGTGTACTATTTCTTTTTTTTTTTCGTTTTAGCACACTCCCAGCTGACCCAACAATCTGAGGTTACATGACTGCTTCGTGAGCCAAAATGCACCAGACTCAGATGTTCAACTTATCGAACAGATAACGCAGTAATGGAAAAAATTGACAAGCTTAAAAAGACTCCGTTGCTTCTGTAGTTCATAAGCAGGATGAAACAAAGCACAATCTTTAACAACTTCCTTGGCAGAACCTCCTGTTCCTAGATCAAAGCTTCTTGGAACGTATTCGTTACCTTTTGTGACCTTGCAAGCTGTATGGAAAAAACCCTACGAACTAGCATCAACTTCCTCTAGAAATCGGGAACCTATATTTTAAAGGGCACAGACTCAAAAGCGTTTGCGACTTGATGGGACTACAGAAGACATCTCTGCTGTCGGAACGGGTTGGACCCTTTATAGCGCTGGAAGCCTCCGTCAAGGCCAAGAGTCCCAAGACTTCTGGAGACACTACCACGAGAGTCATTTCAACGCTTGATCACACGTTGGGTCGCTCTCCTGTGTTTCCAAGATTCGTAGGAACGGCGCCACTTCACAGCCTCGTGTCCTGTGCGTCGGGAACACCGTTCTTGGCCTCCGTGGGCACCTGAGAGAAGGGCACGACCCACCCGTCTCCATCTCGGGTCAGGTGGGTTCCGTTGCCGTTGATGACAAAGGCGGAAGCATCCTTGAGCTGGGCCTCTTCCTTGAGGATTTCGTCGCCTGGACGCAGGTCCCCAATCTCAGACCTCATGTGAAGGTCCTTCGTCAGCTTCTCCTGCAAACATGACCAGAGCTCAGTAAAGATTTAGCTGAAGATGGTATAACTTGCATCGATTCAACCTAGGCGAACATTTCTAACTGATTTCAATTCAAACCATGTGGTTTCAGCTGGTTACAACTTAAACCCTAACTAATTAGAGTACCCGAGCACCGATTGAGAGCGTGCTGAGAGAGTGGTTAAACGCGCTGCGTGTGCTGTCGTCTGCAGTGGTAACTGTTTTAAAGCAATAAACCTAAAACGAATGGCAGATGAAACCTGCGTCCGTTGAAACATTATAATGACTGTTCAATTCGAATATTTTATATCGACAAAGTGAGCGTATGCAGCGCATGAACCTAGGTTCCCAGCATTCCCCTTAATGCTTCAGTATTCTTGAGAAAAAAATATATTGTTCCAATTTCAGGCTTGCTGGTTCCACTTGGACACTACCTGGTTTCAACAGCACTATAACTGATTCTAGTCGCACATCACCTGGTTCCGGTTATGGGCCACGTACCCTTCTTATGTCCCTTTAATCTTGGACGTTTAAGCCGACGAGTATGTCATACATAAAGCGGGATGGCATTTTTTTTTCAAACTTTTTTCAACGAGGGTTGTGGCTTAAAAAAAACACCACCTTCTCGGTACCAGGTCCAAAACATAATGATTTCAGTTAAGTACTGTTTTTACTTTGTTTGTGACATTAAAGCGTTTCCTGGCCGTTTAAGCATTGGTATATTGGTATTGGTATGTTATAAATAATAATAATGATGTTGCGTGATGTCTATGCAGCGGGAAGTTAGTCAGCCTCAATGGGTGTCTGGTGTTTCAGGAGTACATGAGAACTTTAGCCATAGCCAGTGCAGTACAACCGCTAGCCTGGGGTATTTAATGTGCATCACGCAGCAGTTATACACGACCGCACGCCGGTACGATGCTCATCCATATGGAAAAGAGCAGGGGTGGGGATTGAAGCCAGGATTTCTGATTGCTGCAGCGTGAGCTTTCATTCCATGTGCTTCGAGCTGGTGTGCGCTAGCCCACTCGGCCACCCTATGTTATTGATATGATCAAAGTATCGTTATCTTGAAAAACCTTCGTATATCGGGAAGCTTGCGGTAGGCCATTGCTAGCAATTAGCATCTGATAGTTGCGTAGATGTGACTGCCTTGTTGCGTGAGGCTTGTGCGCCGGCGTTGACATAAAACTGTTATTAAATACTTGTAATTGATTTGAGGAGGTCCTTTCAGTCAATAGGCTCCTTGTAATGAACATGAAGTGAACCCCAAACGCTGAGTCTAAATGACGACTTCGGACAACGAGAGGAAACTTTCCGGGTGAAAATGTCTTACAGGTTCTAATTCAAATCAGAAATCACTTTTGAATAATTCCTACAAGAATTTACTGGAAGGATTTGTTGTAACCATTGATATTAAATGCTGAGGGGTAAAATATTGAATGAGGAATAAAGGAAATATCTTCAGTTTCTATAAATTATGCCGCAAGAATGAAGTTAACACTGGAAGCAGCATAAACGCTTTCACCCATAAATGCTAGACATAGCTCAACTAGTTACAACACTGTGCTGAGCATTAATTAGGTTACAACATTATGTTACAATTCCAAACTTGTTGAGCGCCATCAAAAACCACTAAAGTGAATCAATTTTGAAAGGACTGCAGCCTGTTGGAAGGACGGGGGTCTACTAAAGTTACAGTTCGTGCAAAAGGCGAAAGTTAGTAGATGGGAAAAAATGGCCCACGCGGTTTTTAAGTATCTTATCGTTCGCGTGTTTGTACTGCCAGTTTTGCACCTGCTGCACGAGTAGGCCTTTTATTTCATTTGTTTTAAATCTGATCCATATGACCCACTGTGTAAATTTCGTTTTCAAACAGTGTTTGCAAGGACGGTGATTCATGAGAATTGAACTGCGATGTTTCTCTAAGTCAGTCTGTGATTTCTTTTAAGTAAGAAAGCGATGTGCTTCCTAAAAGCTAAATTTATAGTTTAATCCAGATTTTACCATTTGCAAGCATTAGAATATATGCAGAAGGAGAAGTCAACAGATGACGAGAGGATTAGGGCTCTATTGGACTACCTTCGAATGTGTTTGAGTGGTTCATTTAGCGTGACGGGACGAGGGCTGCTAAGAAGGTATGAGCAAAGAGGGGCTCTTCTGGCAAGAATCAATAAATGAGAGAGTTACCATACTTCGTGCTGTGTATTCCATTTTGTTATATTATGGGTGTTCTAATATTGTATGTGCTCTTATGTTCTATTATTTATAATAGTATGTTCTATTACGGGTGGCGGGCTGGCAGATGCACCTGTGTACTGGCCAGCCTGGCACGCTATCCGGGATAATATTATTTTGGGGCAAACAAATATTCTTCTTATTAATAATAATAATAATAATAATATTAGTATTTTTATACATGGTGTTTAGTTTTAGGCTTCACAGACGTTAAAGAACAAACCGTAAAAGTTGCAATAATGAAGTTTGTGCGGGTGTTATATGACATAGGAGGCATAAATAAGGGGCCAACCGTCACGATATAAGTTACTAAGTAATATTTTTTAATCACCTTTTCTTGTTGGTGAAGATGAACATTAGGTTACAATTCCGAACTCGCTGAGAGCCACTAAATAAATTAATTTTGGAAGGACGGTGGTGTACTAACGTTACAATTCGTGCGAAAGGCGAAAGTCTGTCGGTGCGAAAACGCGCCCACGAGGTTTCTAAGTCTTATCGTTGGTGTGTTTGTACTTGCAGCTTTGCACCTGTAGCGCGAGTGGTAGCTTTAGCGCACATCCACATTTCCCAAATGCTCACTATACTTATAAAATTGACTGATTTAGTGATTTTAAGGACGCTTAGCATGCTTCTCGTTTTAGGTCATTACCCGCCTTATTGTGAAAATTATCCGCCTCTGTTACGTCCCCCAGGCGGCATAAGTCACCTGTACAAATTTCGTTAGTGTAGCTTTCGAGGTAATTTTAGAGCACGTCTGTAAACCCTATATATTTTAACGTAGAGCAATATTACTACCCGTGTATAAATATTATCCTATTACAGAGGGGCGTCTTCAGATAAGATTAAGCACCCATGTCCGGCGACCATTTTTATTTATGATTAAAAAATATATATTTCGCTGGCTCCGTGCTTCCAAAAAAATAAACCAATCCTTGTTCTTTAAAAAAAAAGTTGTCTTTGCGAGAAACAAAATTTGTAAGCACCCTCTCAGTCAGGTGCGCGCTTTGCATATCGCGCGATGTTGGCATTTCGGGCGGCTTCCCCCCAAAACGTATTCTAGCTATAGATCTAGAAATATTTACTGACAAATTAGGAATATCGAGGACTGACAAACCTATTAATCACCGAATATTAGGGTCGTTATCTTGAGAATCAAAATTGCAAATTCGGCGCATTTTGCAATAACGCTCTGGGTTAAATACTGTAAAACGCTTTATTTTCGCGGCCCCTATTTTTCGCGAATCGGTCACAGATGACATAATCGCGAACACTAAATTTCGTGAATTCCAGACGCCTGCATTAAAAATCTTAAGGACCGAAATTTTCGCGCGCCCTTAAATTTCGCGAATTCTTCAATTCGTGAAATTCGCGAAAATTGAGGGCTCGCGAACATTAAGAGTTTTACAGTATTTGCTTTGTCCGCATCTATAGCAGCTAAGGTCTTGAAACTTTGCCAGTGTGTTGCCCTGTATTTAGTTCATCTTTGCATTAAATGTTGTTGCCATTGTTTGCCGGAGAAATATACAATAATTCTTCAATAAGGCACATTTGACTAAATTGCATTATTTTGAAAATCATTTTAAAAAAAGGCCATCTTTAATATTCTTTCAACTCTTTGCAATTAACGTTTATAATATGAACTAGCAAAATGTGCAAAAATATAATGCAATATTTTTTTTGCTTTGAAATTATAAACCAGAAATATGTCCAAATTGACGTTAACATATGTGCAAGCCCCCATAAAGGGGGCCTGCACACACCCATTCTGTACAATACCATTATTATTAAAAACCTAAAAGTGCTACGGGGTGGTCAGGAAACGTCAAACTGACAGCACAGAGGTGGGCGGTAGTTTTTAAGAGAAAATTCCTAATACATTTTCGCACAACCGACCCGAAAACGCCCATGGGCCGGAGAGATCGAGAGGCACCCCCCTGTAACATGCTTCGCGGTGCCTGCTTCGACAGCCGGCGTATAGCACCTCCGTCTGCGCGACATAAAAGAAGCAACCGGAGCGACTTTGCAAACAGTTTTGCAAAGAGATTGGCCAACAACCTTGGCGGCAACTTGATATAGGAGGTAGGGTGCGGCAGAACGTGAACCTGTGTCGCCAGTGAGCGCCAATGGATCCGCCGCCGTGGAGGGCAGCACAGTGTGAAAAAAAAATAAAAATAAATAAAGATACTGAAAACAAATAAAAAAGAATTGCGATTGACTGATATTGCCCGTAACTTAATTTATATGACAGCGGTTTGGAAAATCGTGAAATCCAATTACTCAAGACTCGATTCTTCCAGCTGTTTCCTTGATTTCAAACTTCGGTGTAGGGGACCACATCCTGAACACCATGCAAAGAGATTACTCTGCTCACACACTGTTTACCACGCCTAGAGTCCGCCGCCTTAGTCAACACGCGAGATGGCACGGGATTGCCAGCTAAAAAGGGCACAGCAATCCGGTTGTCCTGCCCTAGCAAATCCAGTCGTACCATTGCAATAAGAGTCAAGTCTCCCTATTCACCTACGTGGTCACGACGAGAAAAGGAACCCGCAGCTGTGCCGTCATAAGCGACCACATGTGCCACGACTCCGCCAATGCATGCTACACTGTTAGCAAGGTGTACGAGTGGCCTGACGACAAGATTCTAGTGTATGCTGATGTGACCTACGTCAGTGATGGTGCAGCAAGCTACTTTAAGAACAAATACCAACTACACGAGCTGCGGAGCAACAAGTACTCGTCAGCGAAGTGTACTTTTTCCGCAAGTGGACACGGCAAGAGTGTCTGCGATGGAATCGGGGGTCTTGTCAAGCACCAGGCAACGTTGTACAGCCTCCAAGGGCCCACCACGTCGGTGATGAGGTCGACGTCAGGGATGGTTGCCCCACTGAACACTAAACTGCCGAACGTGAAACTAATCCACCTCACGAAAGCTGACGTCAAAGCGTTCAGGGACAGGAAAGCAAAGGAGTGGGGCTCTGTTTCTGTTGTGCGTGGAATTCAGTCCTGTCCCTTGTGGCAGTGTACGCAGTCCAACACTTCGCAACCACAGCTGTTTGTAGCAGGAACAGTAGATGAAAAAAAGATGTATCTTGGGAAGTTAAGTCTCCTATGGCTGCGAAAAGCAGATTGAGGTCGCGAACTTGCGGTGCCACTGCGAAGAAACAAACAGTGATCGCTACAGGCAAAACGGAAACAAATGTTCCTCCTAGCAGTGCCAGGAGAGCGCCGTGACCGACTCAGGTCAGCGTCCGGCAGAAGAATGCGCGCGACAAGCGACGAATGTGCGCGAAGGATGTTGATTCATTAAACTCGTTTTCATAGTACCACTTTCAACATGTGTTCTTCTTATCATTATTCAAACCCGGTCGTCAGCAGTCCAGCCTTCCTATGAAGGGTCGGCTCCGAAATTCAGTGGTTCGAGAAATCTGTACTTAAATTGTTGACTTGCCGTCCAAACTCACCTGTATTCTTTCGCATGAATTCTTATTTTTAACGAACTCCTGCCACACTGCTTTCTCTTTACAGACTTTCTACATTTTTTTACTTCTTTCTTGTCTTCGTTTGAAATCGGCAACTTTCTATCATTCTTAACTACCGTTACGGTAATTCAGCATAGTTAGCTCTCTGTAAATTTTAAAAAATGCAAGGATATTGCAAGCATTTCTGAAGCGCCTGTTGGGAGAGATATGAGCCTTGATCTGTGACAAATAGAAGAAAAATGAAGTATGCCTTCATTTTAAACTGATTTTACAATTATTGCGAATTCGGTAACCTACCTACATTTCAGTATATTTCTTTAAAAAAGATTATTGTTTTTAATTTCAATGACAATTTATGTGAATATTGAACAAACGCCTCCAAATCATGTTAAAAATGTCAGTTTCCAGACTTTTAACATCCGAATCTATAGAGCTCTGAATTCCTATGCAATTGATAATACATGTCTACCTCCTTTAATTTTATGTACAGTTTCTGCACACAAAGAAAAATAAACCTAAGGCGACAACAGCTTTTCTGTTTCAAATATCCAAGGGGACGGTTTCACGCAACTCGCAAATACGTGCGCGGATACCGACAGAGACTTTGTGATTTTTATTTCTCAAGGTAACACTTTTTTTTCGCAAAAAGTTTGAATATGTTTTTGCGGTTGCACAAGTAAAATATATATTTTGGTAAAAATAAAGAAATGTCGACCGGGTGTTGTGCGGCCCTCCGCGGCAGCGGATCTATTGGCACTCATAGGTGGCGCAGGGTTGGTCGCGCCCTACCTCCTCTATCATGCTACGGCCGATGTTGTAGGCTCATCTGTTCGCAAGGTCGCTCCGGTTGCTTCCTTTGCGTCGCGTACAGGGAGACGCTACACGCCGGCTGGTGAAGCAGGGACCGTGAAGCGCGTGACATGGTGGCGCACCTCGATCGCTCCGGCCCATGGGCATTTTCGGGTCGGTTGTACCAAAATGCATTAGGCATTTTCCCTTTACAACTTCCGTCCACCTCCGTGCTGTCAATTTGTATTTTCCTGACCAGCCCGTAGCATATTTACGCTTTGTAAAAATAATGAAATTGTCAAGAATGGGTGTGTGCATGCTCAATTCATGGCAACCGCGTTAGCGTCAATTTGGTGACATTTCTCGCTTGGTAACGTTAAAGACACACAAATATTGCACTATATTTTAGTAGATTCTGTTCGTACATACTATAAACGTTAATTTCGGAGAGTTTAAAGGATATTGAAGATTGTTTTTTTTTCATAATCTTCAAAATGATGCTTATTTTGTCAAATGCCCCTGTTCGAGCAATTCTTGTACATTTCTCCCTCTAACGAGGACGGCACTATTTTATGCGAATATTAACTAAATATAGGGCAACACACTGGAATATTGTGAAGGCCTGATCTTTTAGATGTACGAACTAAAACAATCTTTAATCCAGAGCGTTTTTGCGCAATGTGACGCATTTGGGATTTTGTTTCTCAGAATCACGACCCTAACACTCGATGATTAATAGTTTTTGTCCATCCCTCCTTTGCTTAATTTGTCAGTAAATATTTCAGGACCCGTAGCCACAACGATTTTTTTTAAAACAAGGATTCGTTTTGTTGTTGTTGTTGTTGTTTTTTGTTTTTTTTTTAGAACCCCGCAAAATATTTTTTAATCAAAATTAAAAATGGTCGCTGGACATGGTTGTTCGATCTTATCTGAAAACGCCCAGAAGATGCATAACTTATACTTGCACACTTCACCTCGATTTCTTGTCCGACTTAAATTTAAGTTTGCCCTGATCCACTGTGGGCTCCAGTATCTGTCAACCCAGTGTGAATTTCTGTTTTACCGTAAAAATCGATTCAGTCTAGAATCGCGTTCAATAACTCAGATAAATATATATTAAACATTAGAATGACTTTATTGAGAGAGTCTATATTAGGTTAACATAAAACACAAAAAATAGCATTCGTGCTAGTTGTAGTGATGTCATTTTCCATGGCAATACCGCGACAAAACGAAATATTTGAAATACTCCTCATGCACTTCAGATGCTATGCACAGCTCAGTGAAATCCGGAGACAAGCGTCTCCTCAGCCCAAGGAGTAAGGAAGCTGAGATCCAACTCACGACGTCGGGAGAGTACTGGTTGGAGGAGAGAGAGCGGCACTTGATCATGAGGATAATGATGACAACTAAGATGAGGAGGGCCGCCACGGAGGCGGCAATGATCACGTAGAGGGCCTTGAAGGGGCCGCCCAGAATGCTGGCCACCCCCGTGGACGCCGTCTTTGCATCCATCAGCGGCAGGCCCAGGTACACGTCGGTGATGGTCAGGTTCACCTGTCGGGAGCACCGCGGATTGAGGCACACTTGGAGAGCACGGCTGTTCACAATGTGGCCACCGAAAGCTTCGTAATGACCTTTACCCCATCCAAATCAGGGGAACTAACATTACTTTGTTTTATACAAGTAGTGTGGAAGTTTCTCAAGAATAATAAATTATTTCTCCATAAGAAACAAATATGCGAGTAATTTTTCGAGAGTTAAAGTTATAGAAGAACTTCTGGACGTTATGGTGTTTAAATCGATAGCAACTTTATGTACACTATTTACAGTCACAAAAGGGACATCGAAGCTAGGCAGAAACGGTTGTAGCCGGCTCGTTCCCCCGCTGCTCGTGCTCATCTGGTGGTGCTCGAGCCTTGGCTTGTTCAGTCCGCTGTTTTGTCGTCTTCTAGACCGCCGTGGAAGTTTTTACACACTGCCCCCGAAATGAACTTTGTTCATTTTACACTTATTTGGTAGAAACTTCTAAAGGAAAAAGCAGTTGAATGGGTCTTTTTACAAATACTTTGCCGGGTAATCTGATGGTACCAGATCGTATTTTTCCGTCTCTTCCGATAGAAATGTCTTCAACCGTTCCCATCTGCCATCGCTGTCTCGGTAGTAAGTTGTCCTTGATTAGGACAAGATCTCCGACTTTTATGTTGTGCGTCTTCGAGGTGATGGTTCTTTGCATATTTCTAGTTTCCAGTAAGTATTCTGTTGACCACCTTTTCCAGAATCTGTCCAGAACCTCTTCGCGGTGTTTCCACATTTGAATAAGTTGATCTGCAGAAGTGTGGGTAACCTCTGTAAGTCCAAGTGTGGGAAAAGACGTCGGTCGTTTTCCCGTGAGGAAATTAGCTGGCGACAGTGCCTCTGGTTCTCCTATGTCGTTGTAGACGTAGGTGAGGGGTCGGGAATTTATAACCGCTTCTACTGCTGTCAGTGCTGTGTAGAGTTCATCGGCGGTTAGACTTCTGCAACCAAGGGCTTTTTTCAGCGACAGCTTGACCGAGCGGACGAGTCGTTCGTAAAACCCTCCCCACCATGGAGCCCGTTCGACGATGAATTTCCAGTGAATCTTGAAGGAACTCACTTGATTCGTGACTTCTTCGTCTCTAATAATGTTCCACAGTTTGTGCAGTTCCTTCTTACTTCTTTTGAATGTTAAGGCATTGTCTGTATAAATTATTTGTGGGATGCCTCTCCTTGATATAAATCGTCGTAAGGCGTGTAGGAAGGATGTTGCTCTCATGTCTTCAACGAGTTCCAGGTGTACTGCTCTGGTCACGGCGCAAGTGAACAAGGTTATATAAGCTTTCTGTGAGTTCGGCTTGCCTTTGACGAAGAGGGGGCCTGCGAAGTCAATCCCAGTCACCTCAAATGGATTGGCCTTTGTTACGCGATCGAGAGGTAACGGTGCGGTGACTTCAGAAGCTGGTCTTGAATTGTAACGTTGGCAGACAACGCATTCTTTGATCACCCGTCTTACCAACTGTCGACCTGAGATAATCCAGTAGCGTTCTCTGAGTTGTACAAGAGTATCATGCACTCCGGCGTGGAGGAGTCTTTGGTGTTCTTGAAGCACGATAAGCCGGCAGTATCGGTGTTCTTTGGTAGAACAATTGGATGTCGCTCGCTATAGGATGCGTTGCTGTGTTGTAGTCGACCAGTAGCGCGTAGCAGGCCCTCGTGATCGACGAACAAAGGCATGTCCTTCAGTTTTGATTCCATAGGTAGTTTTTGAGCTCGCTGCGTGCACTTAATTTCTTGTTGGAATGATGCCCGTTGTACTCTTCGAATCCAATACAGCTCGGCTTCGTGAATTTCATCCGTAGTCAGCGGTCCTTTTCGGTCACTCTTGTGTCTCAGCTTGCGAGTGAACCTAAGGATCCAGGCTGTAGTTCGGTGAAGTCGCTGAATTGAACTGTAGTGGTTTTCATCTAGTATGGCCGGTTCAATTGGTGTTACAGTTTGCAAGACGTTCGCAGCTTTTTTTCTCTTCCAACTCACAAGGAAATTCTTCCTTTGGTATCGTTCTCGGGGGCCACGTTGCTTCATTCATTGTAATCCAGGTGGGTCCTTTCCACCACAGCTGATTGGTAATTAGTTGCTCGGCAGATATTCCCCGTGTGATGAGATCCGCTGGATTGCCCTTTCCAGGACAGTGTCTCCAGTTTTGGTTTGTTATAGCTTGGATCTCGCGCACTCGATTCTGAACAAACTGCTTCCATCTGTTGGCGTCTCCGAGAATCCAGCACAACGCAATCATGGAATCCGTCCAAAAATGTGTATCTTTCAATTTCTCTTGAAAGTGAGTTCTGATGTGATCATAGATTCTCGCAGCCACGAGGCAAGCCAAAAGCTCTAGTCTTGCCAAGGTTACCTTTTTCAGTGGAGCCACTCGTGATTTGCAGAACATAAAGGTTGAACATGTTTCACCTGATATGCCCGCTGTGCACAGGTATGCTACAGCACCATACGCCACAGTGCTGGCATCCGCGAAAATGTGTAGTACCGTTCCTTGTGCTGTTTCAGTCATTTGATTTCTGTAGAACCGTGGTACAGCCACTTGACCCAGAAGGGGAAGTCCTTCACACCATCGATTCCACTCTTCTAGTATATCGTCGGTCAACGGGCTGTCCCAATCGATGTTCATACGCCAGAGTCGTTGGAAACAAAGTTTTGCAAGTATAGTGAAGGGTACCAGCATCCCAAGCGGGTCGTAAATTCTTGCCGTTGCCTGTAATACGGCTCGCTTGGTGTCTGTTCGGTTTCGGGAAAAGTTGACGACGTTGTCCGACGTAAATGACAATACGTCGGTGCTTGGTGTCCACGTGAGTCCAAGTACTTTTACGATACCTGGCAGCTCTCCTAGCGACACCTGTTGACCCTGGTCTTCGTTGATTTTCTTTAAAACTTCTGGAGAGTTGGACGACCATTTGTGCAGTTTCATTGAGGCGAGTTCAAAAATTTCATTAGTCTCGGAGTAGATCTGTAGAGCTTGTTCTTCGTTGTCCGCACCCGTTAATATGTCATCAACGTAGATCGATTTCAGAAGTTTCTCAGTGGTTTCAGGGTACTGTGGGTTCATGAGTCTCAGGTGATGTTGGACTGTTGCTGCTAGGAGAAAGGGACTCGACGTCGTGCCAAACGGGACTCTCGTCATTCTCCAGATTTCGATTTTTGGAAGTGGATGGTCTGCCTCTGGCTTGCTTTCAAACCACAAGAACCGCAAGGCATCTCTGTCCTTGCAGTTGATAGAAATCTGTAGGAATGCCTTCTCGATATCTGCGACGAGAGCAATTTTATGTGTCCTGAAGTTTAGAAGTAACCCCACTAAGTCAGCATTCAGATTTGGGCCGCTCTCTAGGTTTTCATTTAAGGACTTTGATCGATGGCCGTGCGACGAAGCATCAAAAACTACGCGGAGCTTGGTTGTTCGACTTTCCTTGACTACTGCTTGATGTGGCATGTAGTAGGTGACACCGTCACTGTCTTCGTTTTCTACTTTCTCCGCCATACTCTCTTTTCCATATTTTCTTATGGCTGAGTCATACGCAGACAGGATCTTTTCATTACGTCTGAGCCTTCTGGTGAGCTGCATCAGTCGTTTTTCAGCACCTTCCTTATTGTTTTGTAGGTGTACCAAAGGCTTCCAAGGAAGGGATACCTCGTAACGCTCTCCGTTGCTCGTTATCGTTTCTCCGAAGGACGTTAGTACGGAGTTGTTCGAACTATCTCTTTCGTCTTGCTTGACTCCTATAGCCTCCAGATCCCAGAATTTTCGTACAATGTTTTCGGTGTTCCGCGTTACCGCTGACGTCCTGAGTGCGACCGTTTGGGAGTGTTGTAACACTGTGGAGCTTAGGCTCATGGGACCGTGCACAGTCCATTTGAGCGACGTCTCGATGGCCTTGATATTGCCGTTGAGTTTCGTGACTTGTCCAGTTACAAAATCCCAATAATGTTCAGCGCCGATTAAAATGTCAATATGATTGGAATTGTCGTCGTTAGCGATAACCGCGATCGCATAATTCAGCTGACGAAGCTCCTGTATGACGTTGTGATCCGGTTGTGGCAGTCGTTGATCGCAAATTATGCTGGTTTCAAGAGCCTCAAGGGGGTAAGTATGTCCATCGTGTTTGCTTTGCAGAGTAATGAAGACCCTTCGAAAGTTCTTCTCCTGGTTATGTCCACCGAAATACCCTACTGCAAGTCGTTCACTTCCCACAACCTTGCAGCCCAGTCTCCGAGATAAGTCTTCGGTTATAAAGGATCTCTGGCTACCGCCGTCAAACAATACTCTAGCCATCGCTTTGCTTTTGGTTCCAGAAGCCCACGCTTCGGCCGTTTGTAACAGCACTATCCTTTGGTCCGAAGTCTCAGTCGTTGATTTTAGCTGTAACGGAGCTGTGCCAGCGACATTCTTTTGTCCACCGTTTTTAAATTTAGGGTCGCACATTGTGGAAGCGTGTCGGCCTCGGCAGTGCCTACATGTGATTCTTCTTCGGCAGTTCTTAGACATGTGGTTCACAAGGGTGCAGCGGAAACACCTGCCGTGTTTCTGTAGCATCGTCTTCTTTTGTTCCAGTGAAACTGTCGAGGTGCACTCTTCCGTCTTGTGTTCTTTAGATTTGCAAATGAAGCACGGTGTTCTGAGATCCGTTTGTTGAAGTAGTGCAGACGATGATGGTTTAAAATTGTTCTGCTTATCAGGATACCTTTTACCTCCTGCCAGTGCATTCATTCTTTTTGTCAGAGGGTGCTCCAATCTTGCAGGACTATACGTTTGTTCTCGACTTTCGATTTCTACCTTCAAGGCTTGGAGTAACGATGTTAGCGCTGCTGGCTGTTCTCTTGGAACTCGCGCTCGCGCTCCTTCCTCATTTTGTTCTTGGGCGTTCCCTTCCTGTCGAATCGCCTCTCTGTTATAGTGAAGCATTATCTCTGAAGGAAGGAGTCTCACGATGAGATGATGTAGCATCGAAGAGTAAGATTCTTCACTCACCCCG